AGACTGCTAGCAATTCAAATTCTCGTCGTAAACTTCCATGTTGACAGTGGGAAACTAGCACGTGTAAACAAGTTGAACGCGAAAGCGAAAGCGGGTTCCCTGTTAGATGTTCAACGTAATCGAAACCACAACCTAACCATAAGTATCAGCATTGTTTCAGGATTCAGGTTTTCCCGGCGCTATCGCAAGATAAGGGGACATTGTAGTAGCAATACATTGAAACACCGCAAACCTTCCTCAGTTTTGTTGAGAATGGGACCAAGGTAACTTTACAAAGGTGAGGTGAGGTTTCAGGGTTTTTGAGCCGTCTGCATCTCCACCCAAGTTCCCGCACCCCCTGGGCTTGTCCTATAGGATGCCACCTTTTCTTGCGATAGTTTTTACACTCTGTTTCATGCAGCCAGAAATCCACGTGGCACACGTGGCTAAATTCTCGATGAAAAGGTGACATCACGTGTGCTCAAAGATGTTCTTGAATCGATGCCACGTTAATGCCACGTCAATTTCTGCAATTGCACAATTTCTGGTCATTTGAAGGCGAGGGTACATATTGTTGCTTCTCTTCGGAAATTAATTTTTTGCTGTGAACGTGATCCATGGTCTTATGTGGCCTCATCCAGTCCACCCTTGCGGGGAAAAGAGCAAATTTCCCTTTGACAATTTTTTTAAAATGCATATCCGGAGGCACCTTTGACATCGAAACGCACATGATCTCTGAGCTATACGACAGATCCTTCAATCATCATCACAAGTGAATCATTAGCTAAACTTCCTGGATGCCAGTTTTGATGTTATCTCCCACACATCAGTCATTCTACATGACACCACTGCCGGCCGAACGATCGCCATTACATCGATGGCATTCGTCGTATGGCGCGCGGACACTATGTTTCATAGCCATTCCAGTTTCGCCACAAGTCGCCCCTGTCACTCAGAAAACTCCGTTGCAAGTTTTGCCATTGGAAACGATTTCTTGGACGTTGCAAAGTTGTAGTTGGCCTTGGCGAGGGAAGAAGGACCTTGCAGTGGCTAATAAGAA